TCATCACCATATTGGCTGTTTTCTTGCATAATAACCATGATAGATTTTTATAATGATTAATTGAACAAACTATAAACATTCTAGGTCAGGGGTGTCAAACTGCAGGCCCGCAGGCCGGACACATCATCCGGAAGCTGTGCCCACCCCATTGTCAGCAATGGCAAAACCATCCCAATACGTTGTGCGACGTCACGTGACATCGCGAGTTTGACATGTCTGTTCTAGGTTCAGTTTTTCAAGGGAGTAAAGTATTTATGGATTGTTTAACCCTATCATAATTAGTTTTTTTAAAATAGTGTTGCTTCTGCTATTACTCTTGCCTTATCCCTCTATGGCACAAACTCAAGGAATATTTCATATGTATATGATACCATATTATAATTGCTATTAAATCAATAATCTAATAGGTCCATACGAAGCCATAGTGTCAAACTTGTTTATTGCCAACTAAGCAAACCTTGGTTTGTTTGTTGACCATATTTATTTTGGATCAGTCCCTGTATACAATAAATCAGATTTATGGAATGCAATAGCATAGTGTTGTAATGTCATACGTTTTTCATTTCTGTCAGGAAATTACAATGCATTTTAATATATAAAATAAAATTTGCTTCACTTTTGTCACTATTATAAAGGTTTTTAAATAGTGAAAATCTGCTTGCAATGGAGTTCTAAACAGGTTTGTTCTCATCAAGGTTATTGGAAGTTTCTAGTAATTTACTTAGAATTATAATTGTTATAATTATAGCGGTTAAGGCAGTGTTTCTCAACCTTGGCAACTTTACGATGTGTGGACTTCAACTCCCAGAATTCTCCAGCTAGTGTTGCTAGCTGGAGAATTTTGGGAGTTGAAGTCCACACATCATAAAGTTGCCAAGGTTGAGAAACACTGGGTTAAGGCATCAGACTAGGAACTAGGTGACTATGAGTTCTAGTTCTGCCTTAGGCACAAAGCCAGCTGTGTAATGTGGGACTATTCGTTTTTTCTTAGCTCTAGGAAGGAAATAGTTTTTTAAAAAAATCTTGCCAAGAAAGCTGCAGGGACTTTATTCCAGGACAAGACTGGAATAAAGGGAGAAAAACAAGGGAGAAAAAATAATTCTTATATATTTTAATGAAAAAAGCACCCTAGTTCATTCCAGAAGGACTAAAAAATACTTTAATTTTGATATGTAAGACTAGGTAGAGTTCAATAATCTAAACTATTTTAAATATTCAAATAAATATCTTGCTATAAAAATGCCTCTTGTTGCATAGGATACTATTTGTTAATAAAGCCTATTGATTATTGCATTGTGATGATGAATGATTGAATTATATTTTCTCAATGAAATCATACAGATTGAATAGTGCTTCTTCCATACAATATCATTTCTAAAGCTGTCAAAATATTTTAATCTGCGAAAAGGGATTGATATCTGGATTTATAATAATTTATAAAATACAAATATTCTATTTCAGTCTACATATGCAGTTTATTCACATAGTGAATAAATTCATAACCAAAGTAAATCCATTTATAACTCTCATATCAAGTTCTTCTCTACCTCTTACATTATGATCAGGCAAATAACTAGTCCTGTCTCTTAACATGGTCCCTCCCCAGCCTACATAGGGAGAAACTGACTGCAATTCAACCTTAGCAACAATCCTTGTAGTTTTTTGTCCCCCAGGGTCTGGAAGTTTGACATATCTGACTCTGGACAGGGTAACAGTCTCTGGACAAAATTGATGCACAGTTTGGGAGTCCTCCTGGATTTGTAGCTCCTGCTGCTTTTAAAGAGGTGGGCCTTTGCGTTAAGTCATCTCATGCACCAATTGTGCCCATTATTAGACCAGGAGGTCTTACTCACAATCATTATGACTTAGTCATCTCCCAATTTGCTTACTGCAATGCAATCTATATGGAGATCCCCTTGAAGACCATCAAGAAGCTGCAGCTGATCCAGATTGCAGTAGCAAACAGTTCTAGGTACCTCACAGTTCACCTGAGTTATATCACTACTGCACTGGCTCTCAGTTGTTTTCTGGATGCACCTTTTGTATGTGCATCATGACTTTGCACACTTGTGTTAATAAGCTACAACCTTTGTCATTCTAATGAAAATAGCAAACTCATGCAACAGATAACATCTGTGGAACCCTATAGTTCAGTTAATTACCATAGATTTACACAGCTCACTCATTAGAAAAGTAGGGGTTTTAAAAATTTAAATGATTGCATTTTAAAAAGTAACATATATTTTATTTTTTTCCATTCAGTATAAAACTTGTGATTCAGCTAACAAAAAAAATTGAGGGAGAAAAATAGAAAAGAGACTTGCTACTTTCTTAATAATCCATTTCTTAAAAATCTTCCACATAGATCAGTGGCGGCGAACCTATGGCACGCATGCCAGAGGCGGCAGACAGAGCCCTCTCTGTGAGCACCCGTGCCATTGCCCCAGCAGAGTTTGCCAGAGTAGCGAGCACATGGCGTTTGGAAGCAACAGGGCAGGAAGTGAGCGAGCAAGCGGCGTTGGCTCCCCGGGGATGTCCTGGAGATGGCGAGGGACTGGCCCCAGCCACGCTCACCCAGTCTGCCGTGACCACTGCAGCCACACCCACCCAGTGAGACACGCCCCCGCCCCCCCTGAGGGCACCACAATGCTGATGCAGCCTGGCACTTTGTGATAAATAAGTGGGTTTTGGGTTGCAGTTTGGGCATTCAGTCTCTAAAAGGTTCACCATCACTGACATAGATGAATGCTGATTTAAAAGATTTATAAAATGTATATTGTAATGCAGTGAATTTTTATTTCTTCATGTATTTAGGCAATAACAATATAAAATACAGTATTTCCAACTATATAGCAAACAATGAAATTTTATTTCTTCATATATTTAGACAATAAAAATATACAGTATTTCCAACTTTCTCCTAAATACTCAGATTTCATTTTTTTCTTAATTATTTTAGAAATCTTGCAAATGTCTTCTTATTAAATCATGCCTAAATAATACTACATATTACCTCAAAATTATTTTGGAATTATGAAGTAAATTTACATATCGTAGCATGTAAAAATCATTTTGGATCATTTTTCTGATGTCACAACCCTAAAGACAAGCATAAAATGTTTCCTTTAATGTAATTAAAAGCAATTTACAACAAAACAAATGGTTTAAAAACATGCTTATCATTTAAAGTGATTTATTTGCATTGTGTTTAGAATATTGCATGGTGAAGTTTATTTTGTGCATATGCTTTTTATTTTACTAATATTACGAGCCATATTTCAATGACCCCTGTCCATTTTTCATGCTGTCTTAATCCCAATGGCCTCTGTGCATGTAAGTAACCTGTCAAGTGACAATGCGTTTTTATTTGCTTCTTACTGTTTCCCTTCAATAACTCCTTTTCTTTATTACCTAGAAGTGTAGAAATGTTTAAAAGTTGGTAAATGTGTCCTTGTATTCCTCTAATATGTGTACATTTTTTTAATTCTGTCTAGAAACCTGAATTAATATTTAATGTGATCATTTGGTTATTAGAATGTTTTTTCTGCTTGTTTGTGTTTAGGCACTCTCACTATCTGTTATGCTTTTAACTATTAAGAGGTGGCCTTGAAAAATACCAAAAAATTAAAATTCCAACCAGTTTTCATCTAGTATGTAATCCATTTTGTAAATTCGATGAGCATGGAAATACAACCTAGATTTTTCCTTAAGGAAATTATTAGGGTTTTATGTTTATCAATAACTATATTAAGTAAGATTACTTTAAGTAGAAAACAAAAATGTGGTTAAATATTATTTTAGTTCTGATAAAAAAAATATAGCTCAGAAAAGTAAAATTTAATGGAAGTTAATATTTTTTTTCACGGAAGAGCCCAATCTTTCTTAGCAATAGTAGCTATTCTTTATTTATTAACATATGTATGTCCATATTTACTGGGAGAGACTCAGATCATAATAGCTATATGATTTATGTTATAAATAGGAAGATTTCTGACAACATAAACGTCAAATTTGCTATATCAGAAGATAGTAAAATATTCCATCAGTACATGAAATACATATCTTGGCAGAATTTCAGGGGTGTTTGCATGACTGACTTCTTAATCTATATTAAATATAAAACTGTATTGTAATAAATTAAAATAAATAATAGTAGTATTGTTGGTACACTAACTCCTTCCCTGTTTCCCTTTCTGTTTTTTTGAAAATATGCTTTTTCCGGTACAACATTTAATAAAATAGTTTATTCACTCTTACATTGCTTAAGAAACTCAGATATATTATTACAATTGGTTAATACTTTTATTTAAATTATTATAATACAAACAATATTTCATTACTTGGCATAGAAAGGGAAGGGTTTTTACATAAGATTTATTAAACTATTGCAGTTGACAATGCATTGAGATTCTCAAATAATTGACAGTAGCATAAAGACAATTGAGGAAAAAATTTTCCAGGGTCATATTGATTCTGTTTTGGTGGCTTTATAATTTGTCTTAAGACTACTTTGTTTATCCATCACTATCCAAATTCACAAGAGTGTGCTAATATAAAATGTTAAATTGCAAAGACAACTTTATTCAAACTTACTCTGATAATTATACTTGGGAGAATCGTTATAAGACATAATGCTAACACACACAAACATACACACTACAATAAAACTGTTAAAGGCAGACTTTAATTCATTTCTATAAGCTAATAAAATATATTTAAATCTTTACTGTTTGATTAAGTAGATATTCTCACATATCTATTAGTTTATCATTCCTTACAATAATTACTATGGAGAGTCTTAGAAATTTTCAGAAATGGTAATACTTAAAATGTACCTATTTGCATGGTGTATGCACAAATTCTTGAGCATGTAATTTGTAATACATTCTTGTTAAGTAAAATATTTAGTGAAATTGTAATAAAAATATTTGAAAAATGAAAAAAAATGAAAAATATCAGACATTTTTCCTCTATATCTGTTGTTTTTCCTCCTGTTACAGTGTTCGATCAATTAGATCTTGTCACCTATGAAGAAGTGGTAAAATTGCCTGCATTCAAAAGGAAAACACTTGTTTTATTAGGTAATTTTAATGTTGATCCTGTAGTAATGAATTATATATTATATTGTTAGTTCTTTGTAATAATATCAATTTTTTTCATGTAGGAGCACATGGTGTTGGGAGAAGACATATTAAAAATACACTAATTACAAAACATCCAGACCGATTTGCATACCCTATTCCACGTAAGTAAAAATTTTGTAAGATGGATTGTTAAGAGCCCAGAGTCATTGGGAGTTACTAAGGTGGCCAAAGTAATAAATCATGATTATGGTCATAGGAAAGAAGCCATTTTTTTAAATAAAAATAATCTCTCAATCTTTTTCAAAAAGGATTTTTTCAAAAAAAAAAAAACCCACACATTATCACAGTTTTAAGATTATTACCTGTTTTCATTGATTTAGACAAAAATTCAAATGCAGAAATAAATAATCGATAGTCTTTGCAAAAATGAATAGCTAAACTATTACCTATAATTTATACATACATACCCACTGTTTATTTTTTTAGTATAGATGAATGTGAAAAAAGTCTGGGTTTGTTGTGCCTAACTTTTGTAATTATAGATACAACCAGGCCACCAAAGAAAGATGAAGAGAATGGAAAGAATTATTACTTTGTATCACATGACCAAATGATGCAGGACATTTCCAACAATGAATATTTGGAATATGGTAGCCATGAAGATGCAATGTATGGGACAAAACTGGAAACAATACGGAAGATCCATGAACAGGGATTAATTGCAATACTTGATGTAGAGCCTCAGGTAGATACAACATTCATGTGCCTATTTTATCAGACAAAGAAAATATTTTCCTTCATATTGGGTATGATGACAAAATGTTAGCCTGCTATAAAATGCTCTCTTTCCAATTGTCTTTGACATGAAGAAAGACATTTCTTTTTTTGCTTTGGCCACATAAGAGGAGTCAGAAGATCAATGGGTCAATATGAAGTAAGGACAAGAATATGTTACTTTATATTAAAGTTTATACCATTCTATATTATACTCACTTAGGCCTTGAAGGTCCTGAGAACTGCAGAGTTTGCTCCTTTTGTTGTTTTTATTGCTGCACCTACAATTACGCCAGGCATTAATGAGGTAAGCCTTTTACAGCGAAATACTAGTGTAATTGAATGTAATATAATATAAATTTAAGGAAGTCTTAAATACAGTATTTTTCATCTATATATTTAGCGTGTCTGTTTGTTTTTCTTTTTACAACATACTTTGCATAAATATTTCTTTCTCTTTACCTGTCATACTTCATTTTAATTTTTATTTTGTTTTTCTAAGGCCATGTCTGTACCAGCTAATTTTTGTATAGTTTAACCAAGCAGACGTTAGACTGTGAAAATGGACATTCATCCAGTTTCTTATTAGAGATTTTCCCTGGTCAGAAATCTACTTCCTGGTTTCTTTACAAAAAAATATATCTTTAAAGGGATAGTAATAATTCCCTGATTGAATATATAAAAGTAAATGTTATCCAGCTCTAATGATTATGTTGTTCCATAATCAGATTTTCTTTAATTTAAAAATAAAAAGTAGAACTTCCTAGAATTTAAAACTGTTTTTTTATTCTGCATGAAAACTAATGGTATTTACATAAATGTGTTAATTCTACATATTTTAGTTTTATGTTTTCAAAATGAATACAAATTGCCAAATCCAGAGTTACAAGAGAGAAAGCACATACATACATACATACATACATACATACATACATACATACACCTAAATAAATTGAAATGAAAGATTGTTAGGAGGATTACTGTTACAGACATATCCTATATGATTGCATTATTGTTGTTTTTTTCACTTATTATCTTTGCTTTGCTTTTCTTCTCATTTTTCTTATACTTGTACTGATTCTATCTAGCTGCCAAAATGGTGCAGAAAATTGCCCGTAAGTACCAGCTAGGAACCAGTATTATGTAGATTTTGTTATTTTAACTTTGTTTCAATAAAGAAAGTTGTTTTCAATTAAATGTAACCTATATGCCATAGCTATTTTTACATTTTTCTTATATTTTTAATTTAAAACTGGAATTGTTAGTGTACATATAGGCCTTCAGATGCAGTTGAATTACAGCCCAAAGCAAGAAATCCCATTAATCATAAGATCTGTAGTTCACCAATGTCAGAGAGAATGATGTGTAAATCAAGGGGAAAATGACCTCTCATTAGGCACCATGCAAGTATCTTTAGTCCAGGTGATCTCCCCAGTCACTACATTAGGAAGTATTGACTGTTTCTCATTTGGTAAGGAGTAATTACCTGGAGCTAGGTAAGTGCTTCCTTGCTTTTTTCGGCACAGTAGAAAAACTAACTGAATTCTGAAGATTTCACCATGGTATTTATTTATTTAAAACATTTATATAGCTTTCCATTTTATAACAGACTCTGCAGCTCCCAATCTATTCTAGTTTCCACAGAATTAACTGAGGCTGGATTTAGGATAGGAATTTCCACATTTTTAATAATTCTTTACAGCATAATATAGGTAGGGTTACAGTGGCAATTGGGACCAGAGTTACCATCATGAAGCCATGTGGCTGTAAAGTCTGACAT